ACACACCGTGATATGGCCAGAAGGAAGGTATCAAAAGAATCCGTCGTCATCGTTGTCGGTAGCCTGCCAGGCTAACCACGCAGTAGGTTTGTATGCGGAGGGTGACATACAGTGTAGGTAAACAGTACTCTAATATTGTAATTTACATCTCAAAATTACTTTTATGGTCAATTGAAGTGTAGGGTCAAACTTTTGAAAACCCCAAAGGCACATATACTAATTAAACAAGTGGCAATTCCCATTTTTCTGTTATCTGGTGTGTTAAGGGTAAAGTCCTCATCTTATGTGATAGGGTTCATTAACAATCACCCTATCAAAGGCAGGCCTGTAGCCCAGTGGGCTAGCTTGCCTTTATTATATTTGCTGCTCTGCATTATATTCTGATTTGCATTATATTCAGCAGTAATGCAAAAAACCTACAGGCCCATATCCTGTAAGACGTTAGCTTCAACAAGTTAGCATAAGGCTGGAGACGTTTGAACAGATAAATGGCCCAACAGAAAACCCCAAGTATTTGGGAAGCTGAAAATAAAGATTAAGGGGAAGTTACAACCTCAGGTAAATAATTCAGCCACAGAAGTGTACTGGCAACGAACTGACATAAATAACTGGTACATGAGATACTTTTAAGGCTAGCCTGCTTGCATATCTTTTCTTATATGTTTCTTATGGGTTTGATTAAAAAATAGAAATCAGAAAACAGGATAAGGGAAGAGAGAACTGGGATAGAAAAGCATAGTAAAGAAATAGAATGAATGGAAATGTCACAAACCTGGCATGTGGGCAATCAGGCCTAGTGGGCCATTCGGAGGCAGTGGCCATGAACAGCAGCAAAGGTTAGAGCCAGGGACCAGGAGCCAAGCAGGGCTGGAGCAGATAGGACAGTACAGGAGCAAGGCAGGCATAAGAGAGATCACAGCTGCAGACATGTGCCTTGAGCAGAGACCAATTGTTGCTGTTGTGTTTAAGAGCAGACTTGCTGACTTCCTTGGCCTATCAGGCGCAGCGGTCAATCAGCTGGCCCTGCTGTGGTTCAGCCACACTCAGGCTGTATGGAAACTAGGAAGTTGCAGCTGCAAGTCGTCATTCTGGACAGGAAAAAGGGATGTGTCAGAACACAGCATGAGAGTAATTTAGGAGCTGGGGAGTAAGATAGTGGTTTTCCTTGCTGTAGTATTGAAGGTTTTCATTGAAAAGCGAATATATAATAAAAATATATCTATATAGATCAGAGCTGTCACATCAGCATTTCAGCATGACATCTTCCTACTTAGAGAACAAATCCAGATAGGAAAACTGAATGTGTTATGTTTAAGTTTACTGAAATTTCTTTATGCTGATAATTCCTGTCAAATCTTTAAGTTTGAGTACACAGAACTGACCAATAGGATTTAGAGAAATAGATTTGAAGTGACAAGTGCTTTCAGCCAGTACCTTTCTTAATGAGTAAACATGGGGTGTAGGTAGCTTTGCTTTTAAAAATGGGAATATGAATCTTTTTATATGTTTCTTTAGCTGTTCTAGCCCTTTAGTTTTTTCATTTATTTTTCAGTATTCAGCTGCGGGTCATCGTTGGTTTACAGTTGCATCTTTGCGCTTGCAAAGGCAACAAAGGTCATTGAGAAACAAGCCCACTCTGATAATATGAATCTTGGGCATAAAAAAATAAAGGCTTGTTTTGCCTACATCATAATTTTGGATTATCCCTGAAGATTGTCCTGTAATGGTACTGTGAATAGTCCTCAGCTTCATCTGTGGTTTTTTAATCTGGGATTTTGGCTGAGGCCATCTCTAATTTATACCACCTTTTATCAATGTATTACCAAAACAATGTATTTAATGTGGAGACAGTAGTCTAAAACACATTTTATTCTGGGAACTGGCATTGTAATCTGAAAATCAGGATTTCATAAGAGGCTAATATATATCTTAAAACATTGTATGTAATTTAAATTGAATACAAAATACCTTAAATGGAGACGGGGGGTTGAGGGCCATATTTGATTTGCATTGTGACCTAGTACATCGGGGTCCCAGTACTGATCAAATTTGGCTCTTTGCCCCTCTGTCTCTATCTACGCAGGAGTGGATGTGCCAAACTGGAGTTACACTGTGGGTCAGGTCGCAATGCCAATCAAATTTGGCCCATGACCCTCTGTCTCCATCTATGGAGGGAGAGATGCCTGACATGCCTGAGTGGCCATGTGGGTTAGGTCGCAAAACCCAGAGGGGGAAGGGGCTCTATTGTGGGGGTCATGGACTTTACTCAGATTCATGATTACTATGAACACTGTGACCTCTGTGCCAAAATCATAGCCCTAGGCATGAAGAAAAGGAGTACTTGTGGCACCTTAGTCTCTAAGGTGCCACAAGTACTCCTTTTCTTTTTGCGAATACAGACTAACACGGCTGCTACTCTGAAACCAGCCCTAGGCTTGAGTAACTCTAGCAGACTTTGGTGGATTTCAGAGTATGTTCTTTATTTCCAACATTTGAACCTGATAAGGGTTCCTAAGTTGGGGTGTTTCGGAGTTGGTAGCGTTCTGAGTCTGAGAGCGTATTTTAGATATTATTGGATCATCTTCTGTAATGAGGCCCGTTAATCCAGAAGCTGTATTTAACAGTCATTTGGGCCTGGGCCTTGCCACGACCTCCAAACATGTAGCCCTTTCAAAATGAAAAGATATTTATAAGCTGGAGAGATGGATTCTAGGCGGCAAAATCAGTTTATCTGTTCACTTATTAATATGATCCAATTGCAAAAAAAAAAAAAAAAAAGGCACAAAATTATATTGGAGAAGGGGCAGATATCCTAATATCTGTGGACTGGACGGATTCCATGACACAGACTGTATGAGAGGACAGGTAGGTCTTGCAGACTCTATGCTTTTAATAATAAAAAAGTCAGAGTGGTAAATAGCATTTCAAGTATTATATTTATTAGCATGTAGAACTGTGTTTGCTTAGACTTCTGTTTGTCACACTTGTGACGCTGTTTAATGATGCTTGCTGACTAGGAGTGAAAAAATTGATCTTTTTAACAAATTCAGCAAGCATAAATTTGGCCCAGATTTAAAAAACTTGTATGTTACATGTATTTTACATTATTTGCATATTTTACTTCATTATGAATGTTTATAGTGGTATACAAAAGAGAGAAATCAAAACTGAAGTAGTTTGGGAAAAAAGTTTTTGTTTCAGCGCAACATACCAATCCATATTCATTGGGTTATTTCTCCTCCGCCTGTCATTTGGGCAGTCTCCAGTGGTAGATTCATTTAAAATGATCTCTTCTGTCAAACAATCACCTCCTGATTAAATTTGCTGTTTGCATCACAGGCTGTTCTATTGTTTACGCTTTGGCCCTCAATAAAAATAACTGTTCTGTTCTGTCATTTTCCTTATTATATCAGATTGCTGCCAAGATGAAGGACATAAGTGCCCTTACGGTAGTGGCAACTCCAGCCATCTCAGGCTCCATTTCTTCATCCTGCTTTAGGGATGCAAAGCCAAGATATTTTCTAGCATACCTTCCTTTTAGGTAGAATTAGTGTGTTTATATGACATGAGACAGTGGTCAGAATTGCCTGCTCTGCATATAGCATTTGCTTCAAAATTCAAAACAAATAATTACAAAATAATGAATTAGGAACTGTTACTAATATTATTTGTATTGTGATAGTGCCCCGATCCACCAGTCAGAATCAGGGTCCCACTGTGCTAGGTGCTGTGCAGAAATGTAGACACAGTACCTGCCCTGAAATGCTCATGATTTAAGAATAGCACAGCACAGTGACTGCATTTGATTCCTGTTATGTTGATTATAGCAACAGGATTATCCTTGTTGAACCATGAACTAATGTTTTGCAAAGATCTTCAGTGCATCTCAAATCTTGGAATAATTAGTGGTTTGGATATCCAGAAATTTCAGATGCTTGGAGCTTCAGAGCTGATGCGTGGCTGTCAGAGTTATACAGAGATGAAGTCTGTGTAATCACAGGGGACATAACTGATGTATCATTAATTTGGAGTTTCTGTTTATTAGAGGTCAGTTAATCAGAGTTTCTCTCTCTCTCTCGGTCTCTCTCTCTTTCTCTCTCTGTGAATGTGCTTCCATATTTATTAAACAATCTCTTGGGCCAAACTTACCCTATGTAGTTTCACAGACTTTATTGAAGTTACACCAGTAATGAATTTGTCCCATGCTGTTAAGCAAAATCAGCTATGTGTATTTTAGCATAAATTTTTTCCTTATATTTAAAATATTTTTTTAATAATTTACACTTGCATCCTTGTGCTTTCCCCCTTTCTTTTTCTCTTCCTTCCATTCACTTTTCTTTATTTATATACATGTCTAATAATTTTTTTGAAAAATTTCCTGTTTTTCTTCTATTCAATTTTTCTATAGTAATTCTACTACTGTTTCTTTAGGGCCCTTATTTTTCTTTTTGCTTCTTTGGGGTATAAATAAGGCTTCTTTTTTTGGGGGGGGTTATTATAATAATTTTGGGGAGGTTATTTTTACAATTTTTGAGTTGTATGTAGATGTCCAAAAATCTGGGGGCTTGGGAGCTTTTTCTCTGTATGTACTGTAATGAGTAATGTATATTAGATACATTATTCATTAAAGTAATACATCCTGTAATGTCTTTGTAATGTTCCCCAATATGCCATAATCTGCATTACTGCTCTGGATAGACAAGCCCTTAGTCCTGGTCTACACTACGAGTTCAGGTCGAATTTAGCAGTGTTAAATCGATTTAACCCTGTACCCGTCCACATGACAAAACCATTTTTTCGACTTAAAGGGCTTTTAAAATCGATTTCTGTACTCCTCCCGCAATGAGGGGATTAGCGCTGAAATCGACCTTGCTGGGTCGAATTTGGGGTAGTGTGGTCGCAATTTGATGGTATTGGCCTCTGGGAGCTATCCCAGAGTGCTCTATTGTGACTGCTTTGGACAGCGCTCTCAATTCAGATGCACTGGCCAGGTACACAGGAAAAGGCTCGCAAACTTTTGAATCTCATTTCCTGTTTGGCCAGTGTGGCAAGCTGCAGGTGAGTGCAGATCTCATCAGCAGGGGTGACCATGATGGAGTCCCAGAATCGGAAAAGAGCTCCAGCATGGACCGAATGGGGGGTACGGGATCTGATTGCTGTATGGGGAGACGAATCCGTGCTATCAGAACTCCGTTCCAAAAGACGAAATGCCCAAACATTTGAAGAAATCTCCAAAGGCATGAAGGATAGAGGCTATAACAGGGACCCGCAGCAGTGCCGCGTGAAACTTAAGGAGTTCAGGCAAGCCTACCAAAAAACCAGAGAGGCAAACGGCCGCTCGGGGTCAGAGCCCCAGACATGCCACTTCTATGATGAGCTGCATGGCATTATAGGGGGTGCAGCCACTACCACCCCACCCCTGTGCTTTGAGTCCATCAATGAAATATCACGCAACAGGGATGCGCATTTTGGGGATGAGGAAGATGAGGACGAGGAGGTTGAAGTTAGCGCACAGCAAGCAAGCGGAGAAACCGTTTTCCCCAAGAGCCAGGAACTGTTTCTCACCCTGGACCTGGAGCCAGTACCCGCCGAACCCACCCAAGGCGGGTTCCAGGACCCGCCAGGTAGAGAAGGGACCTCTGGTGAGTGTACCTTTGTAAATATAATACATGGTTTAAAAGCAAGCGTGTTTAATGATTAATTTGCCCTGAAGACTTGGGATGCATTCGTGGCCAGTACAGCTACTGGAAAAGTCTGTTAACGTGGAGGGAGTGGAAATCCTCCAGGGACATCTTCATAAAGCTCTCCTGGATGGTCACTCCTCGTGGTCGCCTGGTTGAAATAGGGTAATTTTATTAAGGTGACATTCAGAGGTGGCCATTCCTGCTGGGCTGTGTGCCTGTGGCTGAAAAGAAATATTCCCTGCTGTTATCCATGTGGTGTGGGGAGGGATGAAGCGATCATCCCAGAGAATTGGGTGTTTGGGGGGGCGTGGCCGTTGCTGCTGGGCTGTGTGCCTGTGGCTGAACAGAAATCTTCCCTGCTGTTAGCCACGTGGTGTGGGGAGGGGTGAAGTGATCACCCCAGAGAATTGGGTGTGTGTGGGAGGTTTAGTTGGGTTTGTGCTGAACGTTAACCTCAAAACCGCAGCCCCTCCTTTTAAATTGCCAAACCATTTTAAATGGCCAACCCAACGGCTGCTTGGTATGGGAAATGAGGGCTCTGATGTTTGACACCATTCCTACTTGTTCTGAAGGTTAAAGAATTCAAAAGACTGTGGCTTACCACGGCTGCCCGCAAGCCGAATTCTGTTGCCTGGCCCTGCGTGTGTGATATCTCACACCAAACTGGCAGACCCTCAATATAAGAGGGAAAATGCAACCTTGTACCGAAAGCACATGTGCTATGTAATGTTAACAGCAAGGTTCACCGTGAAAGAGTCTACCCATTGTTCTCTAAAATGTGTCTCTTTAACTACTACTCTCCCTTTTTTTCCTCCCGCAGCTGCAAATGTTTCAATGCTCACAGAATCATCTCCATCCCAAAGGCTAGTGAAGATTAGAAGGCAAAAAAAACACACTCGCGATGAAATGTTCTCTGAGCTAATGCAGTCCTCCCACACTGAAACATCCCAGCAGAATGCATGGAGGCAAGCAATGTCAGAGTCCAGGAAAAAAGAACAAGAGTACTTGTGGCACCTTAGAGACTAACAAATTTATTAGAGCATAAGCTTTCATGGGCTACAGTCCTCTTCATCAGATGCATAGAATGGAACATATAGTAAGAATATATATATATACACACACATACAGAGAAGGTGGAAGTTGCCATACAAACTGTGAGAGGCTAATTAGTTAGGGTGAGCTGTTATCAGCAGGAGAAAATCATAGAATCATAGAATATCAGGATTGGAAGGGACCTCAGGAGGTCATCTAGTCCAACCCCCTGCTCAAAGCAGGACCAATCCCCAATTTATGCCACAAATCCCTAAATGGCCCCCTCAAGGCTTGAACTCACAACCCTGGGTTTAGCAGGCCAATGCTCAAACCACTGAGCTATCCCTCAGCATACAATAATATAGTGGTTTTCAAACTTTTTTCCTCAGGACCCAGCTGAAGAAAATTGTTGATGCCCGTGACCCAATGATGAACTTTTATAGTGATAATCAAGATGACCCATTTAGACAGTTGACAAGAAGATGTGAGGACACTTAACATAGGGAAATAGATTCAATATGTGTAATGACCCAGCCATTCCCAGTATCTATTCAAACTCAAGTTAATGGTATCTAGTTTGCATATTAATTCAAGCTCAGCAGTTTCTTGTTGGAATCTGTTTTGGGAGCTTTTCTGTTGCAAAACTGCCACCTTTAAATCTTTTACTGAGTGGCCAGAGAGGTTGAAGTGTTCTCCGACTGGTTTTTGAATGTTATGATTCCTGATGTCAGATTTGTGTCCATTTATTCTTTTACATAGAGACTGTCCAGTTTGTTTCCCAAGATCTGTGAGAGTGAGGGATCATTTTTCAGGATAGATTGTAAATTTTTCATGATGCGCTGGGAGAGGTTTTAGTTGGGGGCTTAAGGTGACAGCTAGTGGCATTCCATTATTTTCTTTGTTGGGCCTGTCCCGTAGTAGGTGACTTCTGGGTACTCTAATGGCTCTGTCAATCTGTTTTTTCACTTCAGCAGGTGGGTATTGTAGTTTTAAGAATGCTTGATAGAGATCTTGTAGGTGTTTGTCTCTGTCTGAGGGATTGGAGGGGTTGTATCTTAGAGCTTGGCTGTAGACAATGGATTGTGTGGTGTGTCCTGGATGAAAGCTGGAGACATATAGGTAAGTACAGCGGTCAGTAGGTTTCTGGTATAGGGTGGCGTTTATGTGGCCATCGCTTATTAGCACTATAGTGTCCAGGAAGTGGATCTCATGTGTGGACTGGTCCAGGCTGAGGTTGATGGTGGGATGGAAATTGTTGAAATCATGGTGGAATTCTTCAAGGGCTGCTTTTCCATTGGTCCAGGAAAGCACAATATGAACGCGAGGGCAGGTGGCAGGTTGAAGATGATAGGTGGCGTCAGCTTGCTGACAGAAGGCAGGAGGCAATGCTGAGGCTACTGGAGGATCAAACTGATATGCTCCAGTGTATGGTTGAGCTGCAGGAAAAGCAGGAGCAGGGACCGCCGCTATAGCCCCTGTGTAACGCCCTCCTCCCGAAGTTCCATAGCCTCCTCACCCAGATGCCCAAGAACGTGGTGGTGGGGGGGCTTCCGGGGACCCAAGCGCTCCACCCCAGAGGACTGCCCAAGCAACAGAAAGCTGGCATTCTTAAGTTTTAAAGTGCAGTGTGGCCTTGTCCTTCCTTCCTCCCCCACCCCTCCCAGGCTACCTTGGCAGTTATCCACCTATTTGTGTGATGAATTAATAAAGAATGCATGACTTTGAAATAACAATGACTTTATTGCCTCTGCAAGCGGTGATCAAAGGGGGAGGGGAGGGCGATTGGCTTACAGGGAAGTAGAGTGAACCAAGGGGATGGGTTTTCATCAAGGAGAAACAAACAGAACTTTCACACCGTAGCCTGGCCAGTTATGAAACTGGTTTTCAAAACTTCTCTGATGTGCACTGCGCCATCCTGTACTCTTCTAACCGCCCTGGTGTCTGGCTGCGCGTAATCAGCGGCCAGGCGATTTGCCTCAACCTCCCACCCCGCCATAAACATCTCCTATTGTGGAGTGCACAGCAAGCAGTAATAACAATGGGAATATTGCTTTTGCTGAGGTCTAACCGAGTCAGTAAACTATGCCAGTGCGCTTTTAAATGTCCAAATGCACATTCTACCACCATTCTGCACTTGCTCAGCCTATCATTGAACAGCTCCTGACTACTGTCCAGGCTGCCTGTGTCATGAGCCATGGGAGCAAGGGGTACGCTGGGTCCCCAAGGATAACTATAGGCATTTCAACATCCCCAACGGTTATTTTCTGGTCTGGGAAGAAAGTCCCTTGCTGCAGCTGTTGAAACAGACCAGAGTGTCTGAAGATGTGAGCGTCATGTACCTTTCCCGGCAATCCCACGTTGATGTTGGTGAAACGTCCCTTGTGATCCACCAGTGCTTTTAGCACCATTGAAAAGTACCCCTTTCGGTTTATGTACTCACTGCCTTGGTGCTCCGGTGCCATGATAGGGATATGGGTTCCGTCTGTCGCCCCACCACAGTTAGGGAATCCCATTGCAGCAAAGCCATCCACTATGATCTGCACATTTCCCAGAGTCTCTACCCTTGATAGCAGCAGCTCAGTGATTGCGTTGGCTACTTGGATCACAGCAGCCCCCACGGTAGATTTGCCCACTCCAAATTGATTCCCGACTGACCGGTAGCGGTCTAGCATTGCAGGCTTCCACAGGGCTATCACCACTTGCTTGTGAACTGTGAGGACTGCTCTCATCTTGGTATTCTTGCGCTTCAGGGCAGGGGAAAGCCAGTCACAAAGTTCCAAGAAAGTGCCCTTATGCATGCGAAAGTTTCGCAGCCACTGGGAATCGTCCCAGACCTGCAACACTATGCAGTCCCACCAGTCCGTGCTTGTTTCCCGGGCCCAGAATCAGCATTCCACAGCATGAACCTGCCCCATTACCAACATGATATCTAAATTGCCGGAGCCCATGCTTTGACAGAAGTCCGTGTCCATGTCCTCATCACTCTTGTGACAGCGCTGCCGTTGCCTTCTCGCCTGCTTTTGCAGGTTCTGGTTCTGCATATACAGCTGGATAACGTGCATGGTGTTTACAACACTCATAACTGCCACGGTGAGTTGAGTGGGCTCTATGCTTGCCGAGGTATGGCGTCTGCAGGAGAGCAGAGTGGCAGCGGAAGCGGCGGGTGGATGACGATGCTGACAGCAATATGGCGCCTGCACGGAAAAAGGCTTGAAACTGTTGTTGGCCATTGCTTTCACGGAGGGAGGGAGGAGGGAGCAAGGGGTAGGCTGGCAGCAGACAGTGCAGTACGACTGTAGCCGTCATCGTTTCCAGGGAGACTGAATCTCCATGAGACGAAACTTAAGAAGAGAATGACCTGGAGTCACTCCCATTTATGTCCAGGCAGTCCTGACAGACCTCACCGAGGTCTACCAGGAGCAGCCATGTCTGCCTAGGTGCCCCCAACCGACCTCACCGATTTTGGCCAAGAGCACCCAGGAGACGACGACGACAATGACGGCTACCAGTCGTGCTGCACTGTCTGGTGCCGCAAGGCAATGAACTGCTGCTGTGTAGCAATGCAGTACCACATCTGCCAGCACCCAGGACACGTACGGTGACTGTGAGCTGAGCGGGCTCCATGCTTGCCGTGGTATGGCATGAAACGATTGTCTGCCGTTGCTTTTACGGGGAGGGGGGGCTCAAGACATGTACCCAGAACCACCTGCGACAGTGTTTTTGCCCCATCAGGCATTGGGATCTCAACCCAGAGTTCCAATGGGAGGCGGAGATTGCGGGGACTGTGGGACAGCTACCCACAGTGCAATGCTCTTGGAAGTCGACGCTAGCCTCGGTACTGTGGATGCACTCTGCCAACTTAATGGTCTTAAGTGGGGACAGGCACAATCGACTGTATAAAATTGATTTCTAAAAAATTGACTTCTATAAATTCGACCTAATTTCATAGTGTAGACATACCCTTAGATACAAGTAACTATTTCTGATGTTTTTCCAGTGTTGGATAAACACCAACTTCATATTTTTTTGTATTGGGGATGTTTTATTGTGTTTATTAGGTACAACAGAAAATCAGAAGCCCTGGGTATAAAGGAAGCTTGAAGGTTTATTCACCCTCAGCCATTTCTCTGTTGCTTTTTCCCCCTTAGAAATATCAGGACTGTCAAGTCTTGTCTTCTTTTTCTTGTTGTTTTTGTTGGAGGGCTGGTTTGATGACTCAGATATGCATTGGGAGCTTTTCCAGCCCTTAATTGAAGGGGTGGAAGTGTTGAATCCTTAACAAACAAAGCAAGTTTTTCTCCCAAGTGTTATATTTAAATAGGTATTAGCAAAACAACAACCACCAATCAAGGTTTTAAACAGTCAGAATAAAAATCCCTCAGGTTTTGCTTGCTTGGTATTTATGATGTCATTCTATTGCTCCATTTGCTAGTCTTCTATAGAATTTTCCAGAGTAGACAAAAATCTAAATTTCAGATATTATAAAGTAATCAGATTATTTTTTTTTTTTGGCGGGGACACTTTAAAGCCTGTTTTACATTGTCAGGATGCACAAAAGAGCTCAAAGCTTGAATTCGCTTGTAGGCTTTTTTATAAGGCCTCTAGAACAGTGGTTCTTAACCAGGGGTACCCATACCCCTGGGGGTATGCAGAGGCCTTCCAGGGGGTATATCAGCTCATCTAGATAATTTACAACAGGCTGCATAAAAAAAGCGCTAGCTAAGTCAGTACAAACAAAAATTTCATACAATGACTTGTTGATACTGCTCTATATATTATACACTGAAATGAAAGTTACGATATTTATATTCCAGTTGATTTAGTTTATAATTATATGGTAAAATGAGAAAGTCAGCAGTTTTTCAGTAATGGAGTGCTGTGACACTTTTGTATTTTTATGTCTGATTGTGTCAGCAAGTAGTTTTTAAGTGAGGTGAAAGTTGTGGTTATGCAAGACAAATGAGACTCCTGAAAGGGGTGCAGTACTCTGTGAAGGTTGAGAGCCACTGCTCTAGAACATGAGGATTTGGGAGACATGATGAGAGCGTATGGCCACCTTACACTTTCGAAAGACTTTTCAAAAGCCCCTTTCTTTCCTGCCCTCTTAACCCCCTCACTTGCTGCTCTCTATTACCAGTCTTCAACAAACATTCCATGCTTTTGCTTCTTCCCTTAAGTTTCTATTTTTTATCTTCCTATCCTAGTCCCCCTTTCTCAATAGCCCACACTCTCTACCTTTGTTTCCTCTCTTTCTGTGTCCTTTGAAAAGATCTACTCACATTTCACCAATGCACCTTTTCTCCCGCAGAACGTCCCATATACTCTTTCTCTCCACCCCAACAACAGCATCTTATTCTCTCTCCTCCCTCTCACTTTTCCTTTCTCCCTTAACCCCGCCTGCAAGTTCTCTTTTGTCCCTCTGTGTATGGCACACGAAGTCCACTTCACTTTCCTGTCGTTCTCTGTTGCCTCCTCTTATCTTCTCCACCCTGATTCTCAAGCTAAATGTTAGGTGTAAGAGGAATCTGTTTTTATGAAGAAATTATTAGATTATTCTAATTATTATTAGAAATTGTAGATGGGTATATGGGTAATGTTTGTAATCCCAAATAATACAACCTTGTTATTCTTGTATGTGTATAGATATCGGTTATTCCAATATTCTTGCTTCATTTCTTCTTTCCCTTTTTTGGTAACATATAATCCATTACTGGTGCTAAATGCTGTATATAGTTAATTTTATCATAGAATATCAGGGTTGGAAGGGACCTCAGGACCCCTGCTCAAAGCAGAACCAATTCCCAACTAAATCATCCCAGTCCGGGCTTTGTCAAGTCTGACCTTAAAAACCTCTAAGGAAGGAGATTCCACCACCTCCTTAGGTAACCCATTCCAGTGGTTCACCACCCTCCTAGTGAAAAAGTTTTTCCTAATATCCAACCTAAACCTCCCGCACTGCAACTTGAGACCATTACTCCTTGTTCTGTCATCTGGTACCACTGAGAAGAGCCTAGATCCATCCTCTTTAGAACTCCCTTTCAGGTAGTTGAAAGCATCTGTCAAATCCCCCCTCATTCTTCTCTTCTGCAGACTAAATAAGCCCAGTTCCCTCAGCCTCTCCTTGTAAGTCATGTGGTCCAGCCCCGTAATAATTTTTGTTGCCCTCCGCTGAACTCTTTCCAACTTTTCCACATTCTTCTTGGAGTGTGGGGCCCAAAACTGGACACAGTACTCCAGATGAGGCCTCACCAGTTCCGAATAGAGGGGAATGATCATGTCCCTCGATCTGCTGACAATGCTCCTACTTATACAGCCCAAAATGCTGTTAGCCTTCTTGGCAACAAGGGCACACTGTTGACTCATATCCAGCTTCTCGTTCACTGTTATCTCCTAGGTCCTTTTCTGCAGAACTGCTGCCTAGCCACTCGGTCCCTAGTCTTTATCAGTGCATGGGATTCTTCCGTCCTAAGTGCAGGACTCTACATTTGTCCTTGTTGAACCTTATCAGATTCTTTTCGGCCCAATCCTCTAATTTGTCTAGGTCCCTCTGTATCCTATCCCTACTCTCCAGCGTATCTACCACTCCTCCCAGTTTAGTGTCATCTGCAAACTTGCTGAGGGTGCAATCCACGCCATCCTCCAGATTATTAATGAAGATATTGAACAAAACCAGGCCCAGAACCGACCCTTGGGGCACTCCGCCTGATACTGGCTGCCAACTAGACATGGAGCCATTGATCGTTACCCGTTGAGTCCGATG